GCAGCGTCATTGCGCGCAAGGAAAAAAAAAAGACGGTCCCCATCTTCAGCGGAACATTGAGGACCACCACCACTGGAATGGAGGGAGCCGCACCCGCAAAGCCGCACAGCGCCAGATTTTCGTCATAATTGATTTCCCATGCTTCCTTTTTCCGACCCCTCCCCCTCCAACGACACACATCACGATCGCCCTTTCTCGCCAACCACCCCTTCCCCTGCCCGCGTCCACGCTCCCCTAACTTGACACTCCCGTCGCTCGTCCAAAGTACGAAACTTTGACGCACCAGCTGCAACCGACAGAACCATGGCATCAGAAACAAACGGCACCGCCGCCGCTCCGGCCCTCCAGTTCACGGCGACCTACAAGTCCCCCGCCAACGACCCCTTCACCCACTCCGAGTCCATCCCCGCCCCGCCGACCACCGGCGTTCAAGACAAGACGGCCTACCTCAAGTCCCTGCGCGAGGCCATCAACACCGCTCAAGAGAGCATCAACAAGGAGCTCACGGCGCGCATGGAGGAGGACAAGGCGCGTGAGGCCGGTAAGAACGGCTCAAAGACCGCCGTCGACGAGGCACTCGAGGAGGAAAACTACGGCGAGGAGGCGCCTCCCAACGACGACTGAGAGAGAGGAAGAGAGCAAGAGAGAAGGAACAAAAACTTTGAAGCTACGAAAAACGAACGCAACGCCTCGTTTCAGAGCGCCATCGTACATTCTTTGCCACCTTATATACGGGGTATTGCTGTATCATGCTGCCGCTTCCCCATTTGCCCTGGCTATGCAAATACCAATATGTACGAAGGAAACCAACTCCCAGCACCAATCAACCCGGCTCCTCCTACTCCTACAGCACACCCCTTACGAAAACCTACGAGCCCAGCTTCCTGCCCGCGAGCTCTGCGGCCTGTGCGACGCCGTCTTGTTCGAGCAGCCGTAATGTACGACGCTGTTATCGGGCAATACCGAAATCACGGTGCTGCCACCAAGCCTCTTGTGGCACACACCGCAAAGGCGTTCCTCCGTGATCACCACTCTTCTATTGCGTCCGCCTTGCCCACCAGGAATCCCGTCACCGAGCACCAAAAGGGCTTGCGTAGATACCAGCTCCGTGTCCCGCAACCGCGCAACAATGCGCGACTCGTTCACCACGCTGTTGGCGGACCTGATCCTGCCTCGGAAGTAGGATTCAAGGTCTCGGACGGGAAGGTCATCAGGGATCAGCGAGAGGGTCGAGGCTGCTGGAAGACGTGAACCGTGCCTCGAGAGAAGTTCGAGTGCTGGCGCATGGGCGGGTTTGTGAGGTGGCGGTGGCGTCAGGTACAAAGAGAGTAGTGTGTGGTAGATTGATGGTGTCGAGTCCTCGAGGTCGCCTGCTGAAGACGGTCTCCGCGATCGATCCGGGGACCGTGATCGGTCTGGCGACGATGACGCAGACTCCTTTGACTTGTGCACCATGTTGCAGTACCTGGGCAGGTTAGCCAATGCAAAGAGGTTAAATTAGGCAATACTTACTCTTCGGCCTTCGCATAATTCTTCATTTTGAAAACGTAAATTTCCAATGCCTGCTTGTGCGAACCCATGTTACTCAGCACGACAGCTTGAGCTTCATAAAAGGCCGGATCTGCGTCACGTCAGTAACCATCAAGTCCGGCAAACAGTGGTCAAACGTACCGTCTCGCGGGATGAGACCAAATGCCTTGCTAAGACTATATTGCCCACTTGTTTTGAGGAACGCAACAAAGCGCTCCATTTCTGCATCCCACTCGTCATCCCTCCTCTTCTCCTTCAGCTGTCTGATGAACAACTCCGCTAGACGATTGTGGAAGTCTGGGGTCGTGTCGTCTAGCTCGTTGATGATATGCTCCAAGTACTGGACCTCCAGTGAAGGGTTGATGCCGCCCAAGAAGCGGGCTACCCGGCCACGGGGCAAAGTCTCCGCGTTCTCAGAGTCAGCAATGAATATCTCCATGGCCAACTTTGGATCCGCCTTCAATACCCATTCAGAGTACTGGAGAATCAGATCAATCTCTGACGGCGGCAGGTTTTGAAGATACATCACCGTCCGCTGGGGGCCGTGCAGAGCAGGGGCGGTCTCGTCGGGCTTCTCGGCGGTTCCAAAGCGCTTGAGAAGCTCCAGCGCTTGAGAGTGAAGCTTCTTGCCGCTGAAGAAGTCCACAAGCTCATTGTATCTGTTATGAGCGAGAAGCGCTTCGTTTACCACATCGGGATCGCAAAAGTTGGGCAGTCGGAAGAGAGATCCGGCCAGAGAAGGGCTGGTCGTCATGTACGTTCTGAATAAAGCCGTGTCAACCATCCTTGAGGTTCTCAGTAGCTCTCCCTCCAGTTGGCTTCCCGTCTCCTCGCCGTGGACTGGTGACATGAAACCCTTCATCGCGTCTTCGGTCGAGCCATTGGTGTTTGACCGCTTCAGCTTGCCGGTGCTGGGATCAAGCACACGTTGCAGGCGTGTTCTCGTTCCAACCAAGTAACCAGCCAGCGTTCTGACTGCTGCCAGAAGATCGTCACCTTCGAGAGGTTTGTCCTCCGCAAGCCTTCCCTTGATGCTGTCGGTCTCTTCGACATCCAACGCATTGCTCTTAGATATGATGGAAGCCGTGTCCGATTGCGGCGGTGCGGGTGCCTGTTTTCGTCCCATGAAAAGCTTCGCAAAGCCAACACCACCGCCCCTCGCTGGGGAAGCTGGGCTCTCGCTGGGTTCGTCCTTAGCTGGCTTGTCACCGTTGGTTTTTTCATGGACTTCTTCCTCGCCATCTCTCTCGTCACTGCCCGATTCCTCCTGAGCACCATGCGCCCACCCGGACATCTCACCCGCGATCGAAGGCGGGAAGAGCTTCAGTACGCGCTCAGGCGGGGCGTGTACGTCCTCTTCGTTGAACAAATCCATGGCGTCGTAATACTTTTTCTGTTTGAAGAGCATCTCAGCTTTGAGCATCTTCACCTCCCGCAGAGTCTCCGTCTTATTGCGCAATAGGGCATCTTCGAGCATGTTCAGAATACTGATGGCCTCGTCGTATTTGCCCTTTTCGACAAGCTCGTCTATTTGCGAGTCGTAGTCGGCGGCACCCATCCTCCACACACATCGATCGCTAGAAATGTGGAAACCCTTGCCTGCATGCGCCAGGCTGAGATTGGGTGGTGGAAGGTGAAGCTGCGCCGCACCGGGCAGAGAGATGGTCTGTAGCAACGACAATGTCTCTGGATTCCTCACTTCCAGAGAGCCTTTCGAGGGTGCCTGCAGAGCTAAGATGTAGGGATAAGAGTATCCAATCTGCTCCGGCGCCGCTTGCCATGGTATCTGCCGTTTCTCAATCGGTTTGCCTTCGTCGGTGATAAACATCGAGTTGATATCTTTGGCCAACAGCAACTCGCCTTCGGACAGCTTCGCCGCAAGGGGTTTCGGCATATATCCTCCCAGACCCATGTATCCCATACCCGCGCTGCTGACCGCTCCGAAGCGGCTGGCTTGTTGACCCGACGTTGCAGAGCCCGGGCTGATGATATCCTCAACCTCTTGACTTATAACATCGACCATGACATAGCCAGCGTTCATGCCGCAGACAATCTTCGTCGCGCTGGCCCAAGTTATAGTTCGTATTGATTCCGGCAGGGTGATCTCGCCGACGTCGGGGCTAAGCTCGCTCTGCTGCCAGCTCCATAACAACAGCCGCCGACGGACGGCAACGGCCATGCGGCTGATGATCTCCGGTATTCCAGTAGCAGCATCTTTCACGATGTTTGAGGTTACGGCGAAGCAGGTGGCATTTTTCGTTCGTTGAAGCTGCTCGATCGGCTCGTAGGTCTGCAGGTCGTGCAACGAGACGTAGTAGTTGGACAGCGATACGATGGTAGTAGCTTCCTTAAGAATAGCAAGCTGTTCGATCGCCCTGGTCGAGAATCTATCTATCTCACGCAGCAGGTCCGTCGGTTTCTGCGGCGGTTGAGCGGTGTTGAGGTTGTTGTTGTTGGCTGCCGGCGGTGGGCTCGTCGGGGAGGGCTGGGAGCCATTGGCTTGGGTCGGTGACGGAGGGGGCAGCTCGTTTAGGCGGTAAATGCGGAGTGCACCGCTGTTGAGGCCGACGAAGACGCGGTCGCCTGTGAAATAATATGTGAGAGGGGGGCGTCATCACGCAGGAGGCGGGCTACATTTGGGGCAACGACGCACCATGCGCGAGGATTGTCTCAATCTTGGACTTATCCCGCTGCTTTAGCTCTATGATCGGCCGCGCTGTAAATGCTGAGAGCATGGCGACTGCCGGGCCGCAAGGCGAGTGTGTAAAATATTCAGTATACCGTCATCAGTAGGGAGGTTCGTCTCGTTTGCGCCGGTTCGTCACTGCAGCAGAGAAGCGTTCATGATGGCGCGCGCGGGAGAGATGTTGGAGCTTCGGTTCGGGTATGGCTGGATGCTTGTTGCTGGTAAGGTAGGTAAGGTACGCCGTAGTCGTCGGCCGTACGTCAGGACGAAGTCCCCACAAGGGAGCCGATGACCTCTTTGGCCGCCCGTTTGGGACTAGCGCCGCTGCTACCCTTCCACTTGAAGCAGCGAGTCTCCACCTCCTTCAACATCTGTTGGGAACAGCTGCTGATTGGTCGGTGGTACATCGGGATTTGCTTTACATCCGTCACATGCATTAAGGCACTTTACTTTCGACTGCAGCTTGGATGAAGCTCCAGCTATTGAAGAAAAGCTTGGATAGATGAATAACTTGAAATGCACGTTGCTTCGTAGGAAATATCTCGACACGCCATTCTAACTTTCCCTCGAAACTATGCGCTGCATACGTGACAGTCGCAAGGAAATAACCAAATCAAGCCCAGTGCTATCTATGCTAGTATCTATGTGCTGAACTCATCCGAGAACCGATATCTCCGAATTCATGATCCCCGTCCGAGTGGACGCAAAACAAAACGATGCTAGATGCACCGTGACATTTGTATGAACGAGCATGTGTATGTGAGAAATGTGTACGGGATAACCCTTAGTCTAGCCCGGCGACCCTCATCAGTCCGTATCCAAGGGTCACAACGACAGCCAGTGTGAGGATACTGCTGGGAACACCTCTGCTGATGAAGTGCTTCACTTGGAGATATCTCTGGCCGGTCGGGTCTTCCTTCATGATGGCAGCTGGGAAGAGTTAGCTCTAGTCCAAGGCGAGAATTTCGAGACGACTTACTCATGTTGGGGAATCCACTGGTAGGCAGTCCCATAGCGGCACTGCACATTAGTACCCCACCCATGACAAGCAGGTTGGGGTGAGGCTCGTCCATGTTGCTGCCGACATCGAACACCAGAGGCAAGATGATAAGAGCCGCGACCGTGTGGCTGATGAAGGTGGCAATGATGAGAATCAGGGACGAGAACACAACAAGAACTCCGTAGAGGCTCATGCCCTCGACCTCCTTGGTCACCACGCCGGCGATGGTGTGCAACAGGCCAGATGACTTAACCGCCTTGCCCAGAGCCAAGCCTCCGGCAGCCAGGATAATGATGGTCCACGGAAAGTTGTTGAAGTCTTCCTTGGTCAGAATGCCAATACCAAAGAACAGGACGATGGGGATGATGGCAATGACACCCATGTCTCCGAAGACGCCTTCCAACTGGTGGCTGGCGCACCACAGACCGATTGTAACAATCGTGACGATGGAGACAAAGTACTGAATGCCGGTGAACTTCTCCTTCACAGGGCGAATGGGGGCAATTGTGGTTCCCTTGCTTGGCTGGAATGTGATGAGCAGCAGAACCCAAATCACGAGCAGCGAGACAACGCCAACGGGAATGACAATGAAGAACCACTGAATCCAGGTAGGCGCCGGCTTCATGATTCCAACAGCAACCACGTTCTGCGGCGATGCGATGGGCGACAGCATGCCACCAATGTTGGAGGCAAGCGCAATACCCATGATGACCGCCTTGGACATGTTGGACTCAGAAGGCAATGTGCGCAACATTGGCTGGGATCAGTGTCAGTAAGATTCACGTCTGTACCAGGCACTTTGGACTAACCTCGATGATGGAGAAGCAAAGGACAGGGGCAGCAACGTTGCTAATCAGCATACTCGCGAAAGCAGCGACCAGCATGTTGGCAATGAGGACGGTTCGGGGTGTGGTTCCCGCCTTGCTCAAAACGAACGTGGCAAGGCGCTTGTCAATCTTGCACTTAGACAACGCCGCCGCCAAGGTGAAACCGCCCAGAAGAAGCATGATCACGGGGGTCCACATGGCCGAGAAGATGTACGAGGTGGCAGCCTTGGAATCCAGCCTCCTGTGCGGCTTGTCCTCTGAGCGAACGACAGTCAAAACGACGCAGAGGAAGGGAATCATAAGTGAAGTCACGAATAATGGAATGGCCTGTGAAGTGTGTTAGCTCTGTTCCGCACCATCCTGTGACCATTGGACTCACCTCCGTAGCCCACAAGATGCTGACGAACACAATCAGTGCCAAACAGTTTTGCTGCTCAGGCTTCTCCATGATGGGAATGAAGAGGAGCAGGAAGAAGATGACAAACGCAATCAGAAGGGTAAGCAAGGGCGTGCTGGCCACCCAGGTCGGGACGACGAAGCGTCCCACGGGAGTAACCACCTCCTTTGTGACGGGGGCGAGCTCGTCATCTCCTTGGAGTCGTCGAGCGCCGGACAAACCGTCTCTACCCAGCAGGGTTCTGCCCAAGCTGGCAGCTTCAGCACGGCGCTCCATACCGATCATGTCTCTCCAGACAGTGTTTCGCTCCCAGACGACATGTTCGCGGAGGTGAGACCGCAGATCTCTCTTGGCAAGGTTCTCGTCGCCATTGGTGACAACCTCAGCGTATGCCTTTTCCATCTTGGAAATGTTCTCTTCGATCGTCTTGATGCTCTCCACCTTGAAGGGGTACGCCGAGTCAATGTGGGTGCTCATGTACTTGGGGCGCAGCTCCCTGTCCACGATCTTGTCGAATTTCTTCAACACCTTGCGGAAACCCGTTCTGTTGAGCTGTACGTACGACTTAAGCTCACAGAGCTGGACATAGAGGCTGATGATACGCTTCTTGAGCATGATGCTCGACGAGTAGAGGAAGGACTGGTCCGGAATTTCGTCCTGCGTGGTGCTGTAACGTCGTAATGATCTTCCCAGTGTCAGCTCGGTCGACGCCGTCAGCTCAGTCGTGGAGTGGCCGAAGTTGGGAGCTGTCTTGCGTCTGCCTCCACCAAGGCTGGACCGGCTCTTTGTCAGACCGGTGGTCTCGTCGTCGTCCTCATCGTCATCGCTGTCGTCCATGTTGCCGTCGATCGACTCGGATCTTCTGCCGTTGGTCCCCGACATGCCCGGTCGGTGTCCGCTGCCGAACGACCGTCTAGGCCCGCCGTTTTCCTCCTCATCTTCCGATGAAAAGTTGCCGACGTCGCCGAGCAGCTGGTTGACCTCATCTAGAAGCTCGCCCTCCTTGGCTACGTAAAAGGAGCAAATCTTCTCCAGCTCTACGCCGAGAGCGCGGCTGAAGACATCTTCCGGTTCTTCATTTCGGATGAGGGGTCTCGATTCGGCGTCGCCTGCGCTCGTCTGGTGGACGGTCTTCTCGAGCTGGTAGATCCTACAGCGAGTCATTAGTCATCTGAGACCTCGGGGTACGGTTGGGGAAGGCATTGGGATCTCACAGCTTCTTGAGGTTGCTGTAGGCAATGTAATGACTGCTCCAGTCCGGAACAGCATTAAACTGGATGCTGTGAGAGAACTTCATGTCGTCCTGCTGCTCGAGCCACTGCTTCTTCCAAAGTCTCTTCTGTTCGCGCCGGGCGGCTCGATCGTCGGCGGTCTTGCGCTCGGCAATGGGCTTGTAGTCGTCGAGCTCGAAGCTCTCGGTGTCCGCAACGGCGGTGCTATGGCTGTTGGCGGAACTCCCTCCCCGTTCCCGAAGGCCTGATGATGGGTTATCGAGGTCAATGAGAAGTCCTGGCGGCGCAGAGCCTGGTTGATGGGTAGAGGAGGGATTGCTTTGGGGTGCCTGGGGCGGTATGGTGGCAGAATGCGGTCGCGTGCGACTTCTTATCGGGATGGGGTATCGCGATGCGCGCGGATCAGGGTACCTAGGCGTGCTGGATGGTGTTTAAGCTACTGGAATAGCATCCCGCGGTTTCGTGGTGGCTGCAACACGTGGGGAAAGCGTTGGTCGTCCTGTCTCCCAGCTTGTTGAAAGAGCCGCGTGACGATGTAATTGGTTTCATTTGGGCCTAGCGCAATCCAGCTCCACGGGTGCCACGTCCTTGCGATTAGTGTCGTTACCATTGGTTGCAGGTCGCTCGGATGGAGCAGAAATCCATCTCGACCCAGCAATCTATGAAGCTATCAGGGTATTACCTAAGACAGTGACGTGACCTTATTTACCAAAGAGGTGTAGCGGTGGATGCACCACCGATATAAAGTTTCATCCTTGAAGGGCATATTCAATGCCAGACCCTCCAAGTCGCCAGTCATCGTGGGAAGCTCCTTGAACGAAGCCGTCCTTATCATGCTTTCCCGTGGAAATCAAGTCGTATTCCGAGTTCTCTCTATATAATCGTCGGAGAACGACGAATCTTGCTATTACTGCCTGTACTGTCCAACTCATTCCTACACCCTATCCAAACATGCTTCTGTTTCTTCGCAAAGCTTTTTTTCCTTTCTCCTCCAAGCGCGAGTAGTCCTGTCTATCTATACGCAAACCCATGCTGTGGATATCTTTCTTATGCTTGAATCCTTCTAATACAGTGCTCTTACGAAGTCTGGAAACTCGAGTGGGTATCAGTCAAAAGAAATGCCGATAAAAACAGACAAACACAAAGAGAACATGTCATCCCTCAGAGGGACTCCCGAAGTCTAACTCGGAATCTCTCGCAGTTGTATTGCAGCCAAATTACAAGCGGCACTGTCGAAACCGCAGCGGCTGTGATGAACCACTTTGCGGTGCTGTTGCTGGTCAAAGTCTCCAAAGCTTCCTCCGCCAGCGGAAACAATGCTCCAGAGGGGTATCTGAGAAGAGCAAGCGAGGCGCTCGTCGCCACCGCATGCTGGGGTGAAAGGTCAATGATGTATACGGCCGATGTCATCTGCGGTCAGAAGTCAGCCGTCAATCCCAAAGAAGAGAGGCAACATCACGGAGGGTATCTTACAGTGATGGCAAACAGCCCGCTGCCGATGATGTAGTCGCCCAACAAGGGCACCAAGTAGGACACGCCCGGCCGAGCAGTCATGTTAAATATAATCATGCCAGCCACGACCAGGAGAGCAGCGGCACTCAGCAGCGGGAGACGGTGCTCTGGAAGCCTATCATCGCCGCGCGCAAGTCTCGAAACCACGACATCGCTCAGAAAGCCGAAGATGAGGAGTCCGGTGAACATGCCGACGCCCATGCCGGCAAATGCCAGACCGGCCTCGGCGGTGTTGAAGTCATATACCGTCTTGTAAGTCATCGGCACATCGATGTACAGCCAAACCTGGAGGCCGTAGAAGAACGATGTAACCATGATGGCTGGCAAGATACTAGGCTCGAAGGCTAAGGTCAAAGGCCGGATCGCCGCCTTATAGAGCAGCGACCGCAACGGCTTGGGTGCAACGGTCTTGCTGTCGTTCACCTCGCCGTCAACGTTACCAACAATGCCCATAACGGCGTACTTTCGCCGAAGCACCGGCAAGTACGTCTCGCGCATGAACACCTGCGTGAGGATGGTACTCATCAAACACTGATTCATCCAGTCAGCATGGCTCTATCAAGTTGGGGAACATGAGATGACGCCCATCAGTCCGCCTCATCATGTATGAGAAGAGCAACTCACCATAAAAACCAAGAAGCCAAAGCATCCTCTCCAGCCCCAAACCTGCGCAATCCCGCCTCCGAGCGCAGACCCGACCGCAGGACTGCAGACACTCCCGAACGCCATCACCGACAATGCCCTCGCCCTCTCATGCTTCAGCATCACGTCCGTCGCCGTCCCGGAGCCCTGCGTGATCGGGCTCGCCCCGGCACACCCCGCCAGGAACCGGAAGAAGACGAGCCACTCCGCCGACGGCGCGACCATGCAGCCCAGATTACAGAGGAGAAGAAGCACATTGCTGACCTGGTACACCGGCCTCTTGCCAAACACCTCGCTCAGCGGCGCAATCAGCAGCGGCCCGGCCGAGAACCCCAGCACGTACGCCGACACCGTCAGGTGCGCCAGCGAGGGGTCGTTTTCGATACCGAAGTCGCGGATCACCTGGTCTAACGCCGGCGTGTACACAGCAGAGGCTAAGGGACTGTACCCGCAGAAAAAAAGCAAGACACGCGGTTAGCGCGGGGGTTCGTTTTTTTGACACCAACGCTGCAGGATGACGCGAAGTCTAGAGGGCGGTCTGCCGCCCGCCGCCTGCATGTCGGCCATGTCTGGTGGAGGTGTGGACTTACGTGACGCATGTAATGAAGGCGACCACTAAGATGTGAGTCCACCGCTTCCTAGCGGACCACAAGATGGGATCGAATGGTTCGCAGCCGTCTAATTCGGACGGCGAAGCTTCTGGCGCGGGGTGGCGATCGGCGCCGGCGGCGTCAACGTCCGCCTTCTCAGGGTCCAGAAAGCGGGTAGCTTCGTCGGAACGCCTGTCATCCGATGGAAGCCATTCTGAGGTTTCGATGATGGCGGTGTTAAAGTCCTTCTCATCCAACAACCGGATCCCATCATCCCCATCTGCCGCCTTGTTCTTGGTGAGCATTGCCGAAACCCTGGTTCGGCCAAGTTTTGACGTCTTGTCCGTCCGAATCGCAAGAAGCTTGCTGATCTTTGACTTGTCTTTTTTCTGCCTTCTTGTTGACAATCGGCGATGGAGGGGAGCAAAGGTATGTAAACTGGAGTTCGGCCAAAACCAAAGAGGGAAGCTTGATGCCGACGGGATAGAAGCTCTCTCGTCGTTTCCGAGGTTTTTCCTTCTTATTCCCTCGCTTGCAGAGCGCGCTGAGGCCGTCTCTGATCTGTTTGACAGGCCGTTTGTCGTTCTCGTGATGGCGAGTCAACGGAGGGAAGACGATAGAAAGGGGTGAAAGGATGAAGCCGGAAGAGCACAGCTTCGGAACGAGGCCGTCGCCCGTTCGGCTTGCACGGCTTCATGGGAGACCCCAGCGTGGAGGAAACGTATCAGGACCGCCCCGCAAGCGTTGCGCTTCAAACTTTATTTTACGAGCTTGAAAAGTGGTCGATGCGACGCTATTCAGCGTTGTCGGTGAGCGACCACTTTTTTGACTTTCAGTAGGTTGCTGATGTGATCGCGTTACTACGAATACAGGCAAACACCGATAGCTACCACACATTGGCGACAAAGCAGCCATGTCCTGGCCTTCATGGAACCGCCGTCCGGTAGCACAATGGCATTCTGCCGTCCTACCCGCGCGTCCGCGCACCACCGCACTTTACCTCATACAGGACTATGGTATGGTATGGCAATTCGCCTTTACCGTCCGTAACGCATTGTCTCGAGAATACAGACTTTTGGCGTAGGTGCCGACTCGGCGGTTGGCCTGTATCACGATGTTGGCTTGGCATTATAGACTCCCCTCGAACCAGAGTAGAGTTCCCGCCAGATTGTGAAGAGTAACCCCTCCTCTGCCAAAGAGACCACGGCAATTCCTAATACGGCTCGAGTAATGAGAGAATAAATATGACACGAGAACCCCGCCGTGACATATGGTCGTCGCCGTGGTGCTGGCTCATGCGTTGCAGCTGGTTCACCGCCAAACACCTGTCGAGACGCCGCCTGTGCACGACGTCGTGACAATCTCGGAGTATTTCCTAAAGCACGCGGTCTGGGCCAAGCCAGCCCACTTCCCCTCAGCCATCAGTTATCCCCTCAATTATAGGGGTCCTGGAGATCTCGGACCCGCGCCGAGGCTCGGCTGGGGGTGACCTCTCATTGGAAAAGATGGAATCCGAAAAAGTTCCGGATCCCTTGGGGTCCCTTCCTGAGGTCGTTGTCGATGGGGCTCAGAAGCATTCCCGTGACATTGACGTTGAAAAGTGCGCAAACGGCCCTTCTGGCGAAGACATTGCGATTGAACCGACCGAGGAGAAGGAGAAGATGCGGCCAAGATATTTTGACGGGACGGCGACGCTGACTGTGGGAGATGGTGTGATTCTTATTCCAACTCCGAGCGCGGATCCGAGAGGTACGTCTATAACTTATTGAGCAATCTCCCAGAGACAAGCTAAGCAAACTCTCGTGCGAATAACGGACATTTTTTTACTGACGTTGCGCAGATCCTCTCAATCTTCCAGGATGGCACAAGAAACTCATAGTGGCGATCATCGTGCTGTGTAAGTTAAACCGGCACCCAAAATCAAACTGAGATTCAATCTCCGGAGGCCTAGACTCACAATGTGGTCTTCACAGACGCAATATCCGGCGTATGCCTAATCACCGCCCTCTCCGCGCTGATTGTGTATATCATGCCGGATTACGACCGCGAGGGCATCACCCCGGACCAGATCTCGAACCTCTTCACATTCCCCAACCTCTTCCTGGGGCTCGGCAACCTCGTCTCCATGCCCATCGCCGTGGCGGTGGGCAGACGGCCGGTGATTCTCGCATCGAACGTCCTGCTCTTCCTCGCCGCCGTGCTCTGCGCGACGAACCGCAGCTACTACTGGCATCTCGGCGGGCGCATGGTCGCAGCTTTCGCGGCAGCCCAGTGCCAGGCCTTGGCTCTGCTCATCCTACAGGTATGGCACACACGGCATGAAGCGTCCGTGTCCAGAGCTATATTGGGTCGTCGGCTAAATTCAAACGCCTCAGGACATCTACTTTCTCCACCAGCGCGCGCGCGTCTTCCAGGTCTATGCGTCCGCGGAGGTCCTCCTCAACTCCAGTTTGGTGATCGCGTCGTCGTACATGGCCGACGCCCTGGGCTGGCGGTCGTGGTACTGGCTCTTCGCCGGCCTCTCGGGCGTCGCCATGGTCCTGACCTACTTCTTCGTCCCCGAGACGGCGTACGACCGGTCCATTGAGTCTTTCATGGGGACCCAGCCGACAGATACGAGCAACCTGCTGCCCGCGCAGAGCAGCAGTAATGGCGCCGGGCTCCTTGACCGAAGCCGGTCGCCGGGGCCGAAGTACACCACGGCGGACGACAGGCCGAGTCTGGATCTCGAACGGTTCGAGAAGCGCACCTTTGCTTCGAACCTGACAATCTTCGTCCACAAGCCGACCTGGTCTCGGTGCTGGCTGTGCCTCAAGCAGATCGGGCAGGTGTTCCTGTTCCCCCACGTCCTCTGGGTCGCCATCAACAACGGCCTCTTCCAGGGCATCGACGTTTCCATCCAGATGACCTACGCAGAGGTGCTCGTCAAGCCGCCCTACAACTGGGCCAACACCTCCGTCTCCCTCATCCAGCTGGGCCAAATCTTCATCGCCCTGCTATGCGTCCCGGTGATCGGCTGGATGAGCGACTACGTCATCCGCGTGTCCGCCCGACG